AGCAGAGGGAACAATGTAGTCTCGACCAATTATCACTATTCAATGTCTTGCAGCAATTGTCTGAACGCTACTCCGTTTCGGACGAACTCTGACTCGACTCTTGACGCGACTTGAACTACTGATATTCAGTCACCCCCCGAGGGTGTCATGTGGCTGAGGCCTTTTTTAACGTGGGCATTCCAGAGCCATTAGTCTCGGCCAAAAATAGCCCATTTGAACCCGTATAAACGGGTTCAGGGACAATTTTCTCCCCGAAGGAGACTCCGCCCTTCAGCGTAGCCTCCTTCGGGTTCCTCCCGCCGTAGGGAAGAGAGTTTAACCGAACAGTCGGTTCCAGCAGAGTGTGGGCGTCTCACCATACCACAGAGTTTCCTTAAGTGACCATGGCGTGCAGCGGTTTTTTTTGCCAAGTGTAACATTCCCCAGGTCCGACGACGACCATGTTCCCCAGATCTCCTCCCAACCCTTGCTATATTTTCCTTTTAAAAAAAATAGATCCAGCTTGAAAGGAACAAGATTTCAAGACGTAAGAGAATCCGAATCAATATCCCCCCCAAAAAAAAAGAAAAGAAAAAAAAAGACGCTGGATAAAGTGTGCGGCTTCAGAAGGAGATTACTTCGAAGGAGATTAAATGCTGAATTAATATGTATTGTAGTTTTTTTTATAATACCAGTGTTTGAAATAATATTCTTAATTGTACAATGTTCTTTTGCTCCGTGTATCTTCATCATTAAAGTAATTACTTCCCTCTGCCTATTCTATAAATACATGGTAATTGTTTGGATGAAGTCTCTGCTATGGTAGCTACACTTTATAAAGTTAATCACAGTACTAGATTCGCAGCAAAGTCTTATCATTTTACAGTTGAAATGGCTAGATGTCACCGTAAATTCTATGCTAAGAGTTTCTTCCATTAGACTTCTCGTTTGTGAAAATCTATCCCTGCTCCTTGCTTCCCTGTCAACATTGATCTTCAAAAATGTATATGCAATGTCAATTGTTATGTTCTGTCTTCTTAATTTTGATGTTTTATTGACCTCTCACTTTAATAATATATTTTCTTATATTTTCAAACACTCAGTAAGTCCTTGCGTCCTAGTAGTTTTATTGCCCTTCTTGAGGTTAAATGTTTTACATATACCGAGTGTAACAGCAAAATTGTTCAATTGTTACAATAAGATTTTAACTGTTGTATCTTAGAAATGATTAAATATATCTTACTGGAATTCTCAGAGTTTTTATTACACTAATGTACTCTATCTTCATCAATAAAAATGTATTTAGCTTTAAGTCAAAATGATGATTTCTCGTACTGATCTGATCCCCTGATCCGGTTTTTTTCCTCTCTAATGCTTCCTCTTTTTAAAATTATTCACCGTTCTCTTGAGGGTTTTTGAATGGCAATTAAAGAGGGAAGCTAGAGCATAAATTTTGCTACCATTACTGAAGGCCTGAGTGATCTTTTTCCTCTAACTATTGCTCAGTTGGAAAGATATAGTAGGGGTGACACAAAACAATTTTAACCTGTTTTAACCTATTTCTAGGTGAATAGTGTTTTTCACTGATCTTTACAACAAATAGTGTCAAGATGTCTAAACGTCTTATCTGAGAACCTTGTAAAAAGAAACTCAATTAGTTTAGTGTATTTTAAATATTAAACATTTTGTAGAATGGACAATTATCCCCTGATGTTACGATTTGGACAATCAGTATATATATATATATATATATATATATATATATATATATATATATATATATATTATATATATATATATATATATATATATATATATATATATATATATATATATATATATATATATATATATATATATATATATATATATATATATATAAAAAAAGATTTGGAAAAAACTTTAGTTTTGTGTCAGTGCGTTTCGTAATCTGAACTTTTAAGGCAAAAAAGCTTTTGTTGTTATATTCACATTAAAAAAATTAAAAAAGAAATACGCTTCTTAATATAAAGGTAATATATATTAAACACAAAGACGCTCACGCAGAATCGTCTCTCTTTTTGAATTTTTATATTGTAATGTAAATATAATATACACATTTCGATTTCATTTTTGCCTTGAAAAAGTCGAACGACGAAACACGCCGCAAAAATCTATATCCAATATATGCGTCGTTTACATCATGCGGAAACTAATATATATATATATATATATATATATATATATATATATATATATTAGTTTCCCGCATGATGTAAAAACATTACGCATATATTTTCAAATATAAAACTATTAAATGACTTTCCCTTGTGTTTGTATAATATATTTTTCCAGGTATTATTCATTTTTTTTTTCTGTTCTTTCATGGAGCGATTTTTCACCCCCAAATATGTTCGGAAAATTGAACAAAGACTCTGCGTCGCTAGTTTATGTTGGATAATTCTAATTCTGTCCTCTGTTCTGTTTGGGCTATTGCAAATATATTTACAAATATAGTTGCTGTATTAATTTCTATATAATCAAAATTTGTTATCGTTATATACTCTTCTATATGCAAAATATATTTGCTGACATTACTTTTACATTTTCAGCCATATTCCCATGTATATACTTGTTTGGGAGAGTGCGTAGTTTTCTTCCCCTGCATATAATTTTAAAAATAATGTAAAACAAAACAAAAATTTTCGCTAAAGATTAACTTGTATCCCATGACAATTGTTATTTTTTTTTCTCTGTTTGCGATATAAAAAAAGAAAAGATTTAACTTTTATCTTCTGGTTAATATTCAGACAATTGATTAAAATGACTCAAGCTTTTTAGCTTTGAAAAAAAAGCCTTTTGTGTACATTTAATATTAAAGGTGATTCTATTATCCCTTTATTTAATTTTGCCTTTTGATATTCTTTTACTCCCGTTTTATGTTGAATTGATTGCAAACGAACGTGTGTAACACCTGTTTTATTGGTAGATTTTGGTTGTCGGGGATTGTAGGTCAGCATTTTGGATATTTTTTTTCCCGAAAAATATCTCAGTTATATTGTCAGGTAGAAATGCGATAAGCAGGCGATAACGCTGAGGAAGGAAATGGATGTGGAGTGACATTAAGAAAGAAAAATAACTGTAAAGAAAGAAAGAAAGAAAGAAAGAAAGAAAGAAAGAAAAAAAGAAAGTAAGAAAGAAAGAAAGGAAGAGATTGAAGAAGAAAGAAAGAAAAAGAAAGAAAGAGAGAGAGAAAAAAAAGAAATAAGAAAGAATGATTGAAAGAATGAAAATAAAGGAAAAGAAAAGAAAAAGAATGAAAAAAAGTAAAAAAGAAAGAACGAATGAAAATGAAGGAATGGAAAAGAAATGTAAAAAGAAAGAAAGAAAGAAAGAAAGAAAGAAAGAAAGAAAGAAAGAAAGAAAGAAAGAAAGGAAGAGATTGAAGAAGAAAGAAAGAAAAAGAAAGAAAGAGAGAGAGAGAAAAAGAAATAAGAAAGAATGATTGAAAGAATGAAAATAAAGGAAAAGAAAAGAAAAAAGAATGAAAAGAAAGTAAAGGAAAGAAAGAACGAATGAAAATAAAGGAATGGAAAAGAAATGTTAAGAAAGAAAGAAAGAAAGAAAGAAAGAAAGAAAGAAAGAAAGAAAGAAAGAAAGAAAGAAAGGAAGAGATTGAAGAAGAAAGAAAAGAAAAAGAAAGAGAGAGAAAAAAAGAAATAAGAAAGAATGATTGAAGAATGAAAAGAAAGGAAAAAGAAAGAAAAAAGAATGAAAAGAAAAGTAAAGGAAAAGAAAGAACGAATGAAAATAAAGGAATGGAAAAGAAATGTAAAAAGAAAGAAAGAAAGAAAGAAAAGAAAGAAAGAAAGAAAGAAAGAAAGAAAGAAAGAAAGGAAGAAAGGAAGAGATTGAAAAGAAAGAAAAAAAAAAAGAAAGAGAGAGAGAGAAAAGAAATAAGAAAGAATGATTGAAAGAATGAAAATAAAGGAAAAGAAAAGAAAAAAGAATGAAAAGAAAGTAAAGGAAAAGAAAGAACGAATGAAAATAAAGGAATGGAAAAGAAATGTAAAGAAAGAAAGAAAGAAAGAAAGAAAGAAAGGAAGAGATTGAAGAAGAAAGAAAGAAAAAGAAAGAAAGAGAGAGAGAGAAAAAGAAATAAGAAAGAATGATTGAAAGAATGAAAATAAAGGAAAAGAAAAGAAAAAAGAATGAAAAGAAAGTGAAGGAAAAGAAAGAACGAATGAAAATAAAGGAATGGGAAAGAGAGAAGTATTGAACATAAAGGTAAGGAAAAGAAAAAATGAAAATAAAGGAAAGGAAAAGAAAGAAAGAACGAAAATAAAAGAAAGGAAAAGGAAAAAAAATACGAGGGCGTTGTTGAAAAGTTATCTACATTAACTATATGCAGAAGATTAGCCAAATGCCCAAGGTTAAGATTTCTTAAAATTCCATTCTTAGATGAATCGAACAATTTTCAGAACCCAAATGCAAATAAGGAAAATATATAAATAAATGACAAAAGTAAAGAAACACAAATTTTATTTATAAATAAGAGAAAAATACAATAAAAGAGAACTAAAGGCTTAAAAAGTTATTGTTTCATTGGTTTGTTTTTACGGCTTACCAACCTTTTGCAGAATTGCTTAAGAGTGAACGTAAAGTAAATAATCTTGAACTTTTTCATGAGGAAGAATTTTCAATTATTAATTTTATTAATTTTAACTCTTCCTTTTATTGGAACTTCGAACACCTTAATAATACAGATGTAAATACCTCTACTAGGAACCAACAGTCTGTATGCCGATAGGGAGCAAGTTCAGGAAATATATAAAAATAAGAAGAGGAGAAAAAATGTTTTTTTTTTTAAAGACATTCAATTCGAAGGACAATTCGTTCTGAGAATGGACCCGACTATTTTAATTATATTATTTTCCTTTCAGCCATTTCATTTTTTGAACGTAGACCATCTGTAGATCACGTCATCTTTGCCGTTCATGTACTAGCCTTGAGCACCGAGATTGAAATTTGTCTAGGTCAAAATGTCTTTCTTCGATCGCTATTTCTTGTGAGACCATATGAACTTTTTGTCGTCCACCTGCTGTCTGTTTCCATTTCAGTTTTCTGATTGTGTTTGAAATGGTTTATTTTTTCTTGGATTCATTAGGTCGTTTGGGAATCGCGCCATGTAATATTTAACATCATTCTTTCCTGGGCCCATTGCATGCTTCTCAGCTTTAGAGTTTGTCAGTTAAATTCCAGGTTTCTGCTCTGTAGGTCAATGTTAGTAGAATAAATTAGTCATATGCTTGACTTTTCCAGATGACTGGAAGGTCTTAATTGTTGAAGATGGTGTTCGCCTTCCTGAAGACTAGTTAGCCGAATGTAATGCGGCGTTTGATATTTTGAAGCGGAGTCTATTACAAAGTGTTGACCTTGTTAGATGTAGTGATTGACTTCTTCAATTTCGTCTTGATTACTGTGTTGCGCATAAGCTTCATGCTGAGGCAGAATTCTAATCTAATCGTGTTGTTATCGGATAACATTTGCTGCCGTTCATTGTCACTCTTCGAAAAAAAAATATAATTAATTTTATTAAAGCATATTGTAATTTTTATATATTTAGATTCAAATCAAAGCTTACGATTTTGTAATATGGTTTCCCGGTAAAGTTGTTTTTTAAAAAAAGCTGGATGTCTCAACATTTTAACTTACACTATAAATCAGTAACAAGGTTAATTTCTCATGTCTGATTTGTTTTGAAGATTGAGTAACACCATTTTCAAACAAAAGAAAAAAGAAGTCATAAAAATTTTGCTTTTAATATTACATATGTACAATACTTTGCACTCTTCTGTTTTCCATAAAACGAGATATATTGAATCACCGATAGCGATGTAGGCTCCAAATGCCAATATCTGTCAGCAGGTAAGAATATGATCAAAGCAATCATCATGCGTCCTACACGCTAATCCAATATCTTTTTATCCTCGAAAGCAAAGGTTGCGTTCATTTTTTAATATTCCCTGTTGCAAATGGGGTGCGTTTCAGACTGCTCTTTGCTGCCAGATAAAGTAGCCACTTTTTAAATAGTCACTTCAAACGGATAAAGGTAAACTTTACCAAACAAACATTTTACAATGTAGCAGATACTCTTCAATTATAAAATTAGTTCTGTGAAGAGAAAATCTTCCATGAAGTCCGACTTTAAAATGAAGGCAACTGGTTGATGGTTTCTCGTGTAGCTGCTTAGGCCAAAAGGGAATGGTTCACATTTCCACAAGGATGATATCTGATAAGACTGTAAATGGCTGTAGCGGATTAATTCCGGGTTTTACGTCGTCCATGGCGTACCTTTGGTGTAACTTCGCTTCTGTAGTTTGAACAGCATTTCTACAGTCACGTCCGCTCTTCGTACAATTTTTCTAACTGACCTGACTCTGCTGTGCTTCATGCATCGCTTCTACTGCCAAATGACTGACCTTTCGCTTGATTCTAGTTCATCTAAGAAAACACGCCACGGGTTTCTTTTGTCAAGTATGCGGATGACGTGGCCAGTAATATGTAGCAATGAGTCTACCAGTATGGCATCGATGGTGATTGAGTGAATGCATTTGTATTTTGATCTTTCTCATTTAGGTTTCTCAAGTCCAGTAGCTGTTATCGTTCTTTCCAGTACTGGTGGAGGTTTCTAATCTAACATTTTCTTTTGAGAAATGTCGAACGTCAGGATTATCAAAAAAGTATAATTTAAAGTGTAAAGAACATGGTGTAATTAGAGAAATCAGAATTTTTTCTCTTCTATGGGCCGTATACCTTCTAGATGCTCATGGCTTTCGATACTATCCAATACTTTGTACCCCTTATAAAAACCTCATCAGAGAATAATATATGGAGACTGATGAAGCTTTAATAGCGATTTTCTAAGCTCGAATTAGATGTGGCACAAGGCCGAATGAATGGGGGCCCCAGTAAAGCGAAAACACACTACTCTGTCGTAACTGATCTAGAAAGACAAGCTTTCTAACCATTACACCACGTCGAGGCGTCCCAAATGAAGCTTTAATAAAAGTGGAAAATGTTTAGAATGAGGAACATTTTCTATCTATTTGTTCTTTATCTTACCATTCTGTCCGATTCCGACCATATTTGATCAGTATTTGATCCGAGTACCGACACATCCCCCCCATATATATATATATATATATATATATATATATATATGTTTCATTAAATAATATAAAAATTATATTCCGTAAAATACTTGTCGAAAACACAATTATACTTCAACATGCAAACAATAGACAAAAACTAAAAATCCTTGAAGCAATATACATCAAACAGTTGAAACCTAACCTAAACAAAATTAACTATGGAATCTCTACAAATATCCTTAAATATCTATAATTGGTAACAGAAGCCATTGGTTTATACCAACGTCTTCCCATACTTAATACTTCTTGAATTCAATCTCGCGTGGTCATGTGTGACGTCATGAACAGTGGTGCACCGTCTTATATACACGTGTCTATCGTTGCTTGTAAATCCTCCATGTAAACAGAAACAGACTATCATCACTGTCTTGTCCGTATATTACTAAATATGTTGTACAGTAATTGACATCTTTGATAATGGCTTATGTAAGCCGATAGCTTAGATTGGATTAAAAAATATGGATCACTATTGTGATTTTCTTTTTTCGTTTAATGATAATGTTATTAAACTTATCAGACGTTATGAAAAGAATTTACATAAAATAAACAGACAACACTTGTCTATATTATTTAATGAAACATGTATGAATGAAAAAATGCTACCTAAATACACACACACTATATATATATATATATATATATATATATATATATTAAAGAAAATTAGATCACTTTAAGGTTCCATTGTAATAGTTTATTTCACAAGAGACCTTTTAAAAGACGCTGGATCCTCAGACATCACTTCCAAAAGGTGAAACGAAAAATGAAATGAAAATTTACATTTTTGACGGGTGGTATTAAGTTTATGTAATTTAACAGAGAGGGTAGCGAGGAGTGGTGTGAGTAAAGTTCTTAGGTTTGTTTTGGAGATTAAAATGACGCACATGCAAAAATGGTATATCCATCGGTCGACGTAATTACACAATCCGACAAGAAAGTGTTTGTAACACCAGTTGTTATATTCTTATAGTATTTAGTCTAGTTTAAAGCTTTGATTACTTTTTGTCTCCAAACTGCCCAATTTTTTAATGTTTATTTTTTTTTCTTAATTGTTAAATAAATCGCACGAGCACGCACACAGACACACACACGCACATACACAGAGACACATACACGCACGCATATATACCGGGTGTGAAAGCAAAATGGTGCAAATCGTGTGACAGCATAGGATAGTTGTCCATTCCATAAAATGTTTGATACCTAAAAAAGTACTAAACTAATGGAGCTTCTTCTTATCAGGTTTTCAGAAAAGACGTTTAGCCATCTTGACAACATTGGTCGTAAGAATAACTGAAAAACACTTATTATTATTGTTATTCAGCTAGAACAAGTTAAAATTGTTTTGTGTCCACCCAGCTATGTTTTCCCAGCTGAGCAACGTAGATAGGAAAAATGGACATCCAGGCTTTCAGTCATTGTACCAATATCCATACTCTGGTTCCACCTTCAAATCCATTCAAAATCCATCAAGAGACCAATGAATAAGTTTAAAACAGACGGAACAATAAAGAGAAAATCCTAATCACGAGGTCATAACAGCAAGAGGTATCATCTTCTCAACTTAGAGCTAAATACATTCTTATTGTTCAAAGTAGTGTCCAATAGTGTTATAAAAACCTCACAGTATTCCAGTAAGATATTTTGCTGTTACATCCGACACACACACACATACACACACACACACACATATATATATATATATATATATATAGTCATCCACAGACTGTTTCGCTGTTACACAGTTCACCAGTGTGGCTAGACATCCGATTGTCTCAAGGCAGGATCGAAACCCGACTGATTTGGTATCACTCAAGATTTTACTCTAAGCAAATATATATATATATATATATATATATATATATATATATATATATATATATATATATATATATATATATATATATATATATATATATATATATATATATATATATATATATATATATATATATATATATATATATATATATATATATATATATATATATATATATATATATATATATATTATATATATATATATATGCTAGATGTTTCGAAAGTTTAGAAAATAGAAAATGACCTGACTCGTCGTCTTCAACGAAGCAATTTATTTCAATATCATGGGCTCATCGTTTTTCTTGGTTGTACAATCTTTCTAGCAACATGCATCTTTTCTCAATTGTATATCTGTAAACATATTACCCGCAGCATTGCCTGCGTCCCACTTCTTATTCTTTTGCTCAAAACGACCACCCGTGGGGTATGTCCAGTTTTCAATGGCCGACTCATCGGAATCCATTCAACTTACGAATTCTGTAGTTTGTCCACGATTCTAATACAAAAGTAGGGGCCACTTAGGTTTTTTTTTTTTTCATTTCTTCTAGTCCAGCGGGTAGAGATGCGGGTAGTCGGGGTCAGTGGCGATTCGTTATCATTTATAAATGGATGGCTACTCTTTTGGTACCCGCTACGGTTACAGCTACAAAATCCTCCCATTAAAAGCTGTACAGCATTGCTTTGATAAAAGGAAAATTTACTTAATATAATGAAAGCCTAAAAAATAAAACAAACGTTACGGTTGGACTCTTTATTAAAAATATAGAAATTAAATTATAAATGAGAAAATGATTATAAAATTCCACTACGTTATAAATTACGTTATTATTATAATATTATAATTCTGTTCGTTCCTTATTTAGTTAGTTTGCGCCTATGTTACTGCTATTTCCTCAGATAAATAAATAACCATTTCTTCTTGACTGCGACAATAGACGGAAGAAAAGCTATATCAAATCCGGTATTTGGATTTAGGGAAATAAAGAAAGAAACAAAGAAAGAAAGGAAGAAAGAAAGAAATAAAGAAAGAGGAAGCGATAACATACTCCTGTGTTTAGGGCCTGCTTCAGTGAAACGGAAAACTTTCTGAATTTAGAATGTTTTCATTTGTACCCTCTTTCTTCTAAATAAAGCCCTGGATTAATATTTGTAATTGTTATTGTAATATTCTGTTAACGTTGTTAAACTCAAATATCTAAGGAAGCAGTAATGGAATTTCCAGAGATAATTTATAGTCATGGAACTCGCTATGAGCTTATTCAATTATTAACTTAATAATTAAGATACATCATAAAATGAAATTAGGATAATCGTTAAAATTTCCCGGGTATTTCTGGTAAATATTATTATTATTGTATTATTGTTGTTTGTGTGTTATACTTCCTGCTTTGTTTCCTGTAGAGCCTGGTCCAAACTATGGTCTTGAGGCCCTATAGGAGAAGTATCATTTAATTGATAGCGCTTTTTTTTTAGTATATGGGATGTTCATAGTAGCGTGAACTTCTGGGCAGTTTTTGTTTATGTTACCTGAGACGCTATTAGTAAAATGGTCCATTCCTTTTCTCACGAGACCGATGGTTCCGATTACTATTGGTACACTGTCAGTCTTCATTCGCCACATCCTGTTAATCTCGATCTCCATGTCCTTGTATTTGGACAATTTGTCTATAATTTTTATGGATTTGTTTCTCTCAGATGGTACTGTTATATCAATAATTATTATTATTATTATTATTATTATTATTATTATTATTATTATTCTATTTCCTTTGATTTCTAGTGTATATACATTTCTTTCCGGGTCTCGCCAACAGACCTAAGGTTAGAAATGGCATCATGACATTTTCCACTGAAAAAAAAAAATACATCGATGAAGCCCTTCCTAAGGTGTGGGCTGCGCTCGTGAGAAAAAAAAATTCTTTAAGGCATGGACTTCCAGGAATCCCTTCAATTAGTCTAACGGAATCTTTTCCAAACAATCCCAGAGCTCCAACTACAACAGGGATTGTTGATGATCTCATTTTCCACATTTTTGAGATTTTGATTTCAATGTCCTTGTATTTTAATAGTTTCTTGAAGATCTATTTATTTTCACGACAGCTCTCGTGAGTTGATAATATAAAACATAATTTCTTCTTTTCACTAACATTTTGTATTCAATTCTTTTGGAAGTATTCATGCTATTCCTGGTGGAGTACCCTTTTTGTAATGTCTCTATTCCCAAATCGTAATCCAATATTTGCAACTTGTTTCCATTTCATTTTTACAGCACTTCAATAAACCAATGATAATCCTAATCTCAGTATGCTTACAGATAAGAATTTAATCTCTGGTAATCAATGTATGGGTAGCTGGCCGTAACCAGAAGCCTTAGGTCTCAGGTAATTTTCCTCTGATTCTTAATGTTCATCTGTTTTCGGATTATTCTTGCTGTTTCTTGAACGATTCTTTCTGTAACCATTTCACTGGGCAATTAAAGGAATTTTCTTTATCCATGTCCCTATTCTGTCAGTCATGGTATCAATTCCACTAATAACAACTAGTATGAGAGGAGTATTCTTCAACTTTCAAAGCCTTCAACGTCTCCTAGTTAGTTAAATTCACTTCTTACACTTAGTTCTGTCTTTGTATCAAAAAGAACACAATAGATGAACGATTATCCCATGTTGCTCTATTTTTCTGTATTGAAAAATCTCCCCAAATCTTTCATGATTCTTTTTCTCGCTAAAAATCCCATTTCCCACATCACTTACAATTATATATATGTTTTACAACAGTAAAGTTCTTGGAATTTCCGTATCAGTAAATTCAAAAATGCTCTCATTTATTTATTTTTAAATTCAACCTTAGCTTTGCGACTGCACTCTCCAAAATTTTCTGTTAACAATAACACACTTCAAACTTTATTACATTTATTTCGTCTCAGTTATTATGCATGAATTTTACCTAAAATTTCCAGTCCACAGGGGATTTTGGTTTTTAAAGATATTTCCATTTTTTTTTTAAATCTTATATATATATATATATATATATATATATATATATATATATATATAATATAATATATATATATATATATATATATATATATATATATATATAAATATATATATATATATATATATATATATATATATATATATATATATATATATATGAATCATTCATACAAAAAACAGATAGAGAATATTATATAATTATCTTAATGTAAATTGAACTGCACCACATACTTGATATTATATATATATATATATATATATATATATGAGAAAAAGTTTTTAAATATATACACACGCACACACACACATACACACATATATATGCGTGTGTGTGTGTGTGTGTGTGTGTGTGTGTGTGTAAAGACAAAAAGTAAAAATTATCTTAGCCAACGCGTTTCGTCTTCTGATGTTCCTTATCAAACGCTCATAAATATACATCAGGCAAAATGAAAAGTCTAGGGAAATTATGGCGGATGCTAAGTTATGTAATTTAATGTCTGTTACATTTTTATTATAATGTGATAACTAATTTTTTATTATTTAACTTTGGATAAATTTATGTATTATATATTTTAAATAATACAAACATTTGAATTTAATGTTTTCTTTCAGTATAAAAAAAAATATAGCCATGGATGTTGGCTTGGGAAAGTGGCATTTATTTCAGGAACGGAGATATTTGAAAAAAATTCAGGTCTCAGATTTATATTTTGGTCGAATTTGGTAGCGGCAATCTTAGGAAATTTCCTTCTAAGTTACTTTCTCTTTTAATAATTGTGGCAATGTTAAATCAATATTAAGGTCGAAATCTTTTCTATGCCAGGTTAAAGTATATGATATACTCTTGTATATAAGGTCCTTTTGAGTTCATAATTTTTTTTTTTTTTAATTTCGGCAAAAGTTTCTCATATATATATATATATATATATATATATATATATATATATATATATATATATATATATATATATATATATATGTTTGTTTCTGTTGTGTGTGTGTGTGTGTGTGTGTGATGGGGACGTTCTTATCTTTCTTGTCCGTATGTGTGTTTTTTTCAGCCTATTCCCACACCACCCCCATTCCTCAGTTTTCAATTTTCTAACATGCCTCGCCTGCATGTTGGAAGCGAACCCGTCAGCTGGACACTCCGCTTCAAGTTGGTGCCCATCAGGAGTTCCGAAGAGGCGAATTACAATAGAAACCTCCTCATGGGCACGTCCTTCTGATGCTACGCACACACCAACGTGTATAAAAAGAAGGCCCACATAAAATTCAATATTGTCACCGTCTTCCGTTTTTGAAGACCTTCATTGACATCGTTAATGCCTTTCGTATATTTGCATGTTTTGAATCACTCTTTCATATGAGTTGTTGTTGTTGTTCAGCTGTACAAAGACGTCACCACATATATTTCTCTCATATATCAATAACTAATGCCAATAGCCAAATCTCACTGATCAAACATTTACTTATTAATACATAGACTGGGAAAAAAAATAAAAGCGCGACTCTCCGAATATATTTCAGTTCTTTCAAGATTAAAATATTACTAACATATGTGGATTACATTAAATTATCAATACATGATACATTCAAAAATTCCCAAAGCAGTATCGAAATTATTCAGACCTCTTATTTACACACTGTTTTTACTCCTTTGGTTTTAGTACAGGCATATACTGTCGCTAGCATATGTTCCTACAAGTACTAGATTGGTGACAAGGTTTCTTCATTTTATAATTGAAATGGCTAGATGCAATCGTAATTTCTGTGCTAGTAGTTTTTTTTTTTATCACACTTCTCGATTGCAGAACTCTCTTTTGTCTTCTTGCTTACCAGTCAACTTTGATCTTCAATAATTTAAATGCAATGTTAATCTACTGTCTTCTTAATTCCTCTTCTTTTAGCGTTCTCTCAATTTAATAGAGTGTTTCTATTTTTTTTTTTCGGTCTAATAAATCCAATATCATCTTACATTTTAGTGGCTTTCTAGCCTTACTTGGAATGAAATGATTAAAAAGAAAGGTAGCGAAATAAAAAAAGAAATGCCTTTTTTTGCATCAGTTAACGTTAAACAACGAAATCTGTAGTAGGGTTTCGTTAAGCGCAGTCTCAACGTCTCCATAGTTGTTAACTTCGTAGAGTTACCCCGATCATACATCCAGGGAAGTTGCCGAACATCTGACGGATTATATGGAACTGACATTCTCATTTTTTTTTCTAATTCCTTTTCAGCGAGTGGTAGAAAGTAGTGGGGACCACTTCTCGCCCCATTTCAACTATGATCTTTGCTCTCACAGACTGCCATCTAAAGTGAGCAACTTAATTTAATGTAAATTAGGGAGCTTTATAATTAGTGACTTTGGTCTCTAATTATAAAACTCCCTTATTTACATCTTCATAATCTTTCTCCTAAATAATGACCAATGAAAAAGTCGAAAGTACTAGAATCCCTCCTATTCTCATTTTAATTATAGATTGTCCATTCACGGATTTTCATCTGATGGAACCTAATTAACTGAGTAAAAGATGCACGCACACACACACACACACACACACACACACACACACACACACACACACACACATATATATATATATATATATATATATAATGCAAGACCCTTCGGTAAAATCGAATTGAGTTCTCTCGGTCACTGTGTGTTTATCTAAAAATAAATACGCTTAAATTTACCACCATACCTGCCGTGCGCCAACGGCTTAGTGGTAGAATCTTCGACTGACAGCAATTCAGTTGGGTTTCGATCCTAGCTAGAGGCAACCGGATGTCTAGCCACCCTGATGTGCTGTGATACTGCGAAATAGTCTATCTGTGGTTGACTATATATATATATATATATTTATAAAAAAGGGTGTATCAAAGTGCATATATCAGCAAATCCTTCGTTTTTGAATTATTAATTTAAAGATTGCGTTAGATGACGTTGTTAAATGTACAATCCAAGATACAATCTAAAAATTCTTTTACAAACTTTGGCGGATGGTTGCTGACCACAAAACAAGGTAACAGGCCCATATAAACATATGTCCAAAAGGACAACGTTGTACCTCAATGCAGCAACTCATAACACATGTGCAAAATGTCTTCAGCTTGCACATATCAGAACATTGACTGGCGGACACTTTCCAGTATTTTCACACGGTGTCGAATTTTTTTCGCAGGTCCCCATAACACGTTCATAAAGCGTCTCTGCACTGTTAATGTCTGCTGTTTTAGGTGGCCCCACAGATAAAAAAAAAATTAAAAGGATTCAGGTCGGAGGAACGTGCCGGCTATGGAATAGGTCCTCCGCTACATATCCATCTTTCATGGTAGAAGTCAGCCAGTGCATCGCGAAAATTGTGACTAAAATGTGCTCCAACTCCATCATGAATGAACCACATGGGCCTTCGTATTAGCAGAGGTACATCCTCTAGCTGGTCTTGAAGGGTGTTCGAAATAAAGTCCCTGAAGACAACTGCTGTAAGACGTGCTGGGAGAACATATTGACCTACCAGACAGTCACCTAAAATGGAAACCCATACCTTAAACTGACCTGGTTATTGTCTGTATTACACTATGGAAATTCCAATCCGCCCACAAATGCTGACTGTTTAAATGTATTATTCATCTCTTTCAAATGTTGCTTAATCCGTGAAAAACACTGTGCAATAAACCATCGGCAAAAGTTATCCCGTGGTGAGTGATCAGAGGGCAAAAGAACCTGCACACGTTACAAATGATACGATTACAGGAGCTGCTCTTGAAATATCCTCCATGAGATATATGGCATGCTTGAGCCATTTGACGTGTTCTGATACATGCATCATCATCGACACCCTGTAGAATGTCTTCTTCGTGTTCAGGTGTACGAGCGAATTTCGGTCATCCTCGATCCGTAGTTTGTGGCGCCACGGATTCTGACGATAAGCACAAGCAAAGGTTGGATGACTCAGTAGACTCCAGTACTAAACACGTTAAACGGTGAAAAAACGGCGCCATCTACCGTAAATTTCTTTAAACTTAATAACTTAAAACGAAGAATTTGCGGGCATATATTTATATGAACTTTTGTCTTTGTTTTGGTGTGAGGAACGTGCTCCTAAAGTTTGTAAAATTATTTTTGATACACCCTGTATATAAATTTTATTAAAAACGTTTGACAAGGTTCTGCAGTTAATATTTTCATTTAATTTTTCTTGTGCTTTTATAATTTCATTCTTTAAATTATATAGAAATTGTTTGAATGTTCTGTATGTGCGAGCAGTTTCGGCTATATTTTAGCCATTATCAAGGATGATATTACTTTTTTTACATTTAACTGAATGTATGGAATTTTATGTATGTATATAGAGTCTATAGGAATGTTTTATTTTCCAGGCAAGGTCAGTAATTAAATGTATTGGTAGCAGCCAGTGTATGACAAACTAAAGGAGGAGTATCCTGCATTGGCCAATCGTGTTCAGGCTTTGTTTCAGCAAGAAAATGCGAGCCCACACACTTCAAAGTAGACTAAGAAGTATTCAAACAGGCGAACGTGTTGAGATTCTTCCACGTCCACCATTCATTTATCGGTGCTGCCACGAGTGACTACGACCTATCCGCACAATGGCACACTTCTTCCCCGACCAGTGATTCAAGATTTGATGAAGTGAAAGAAACTTCTTTACAGGTATTTTTTTAAAATTCAAACTCAGCGAAATGGTATCTGGGACAGCGTTTGCCTCCTATCGTAACTGTTCGAGTTTCAATTCTCGGTAGTGGATGCGAACTGCTGATGAGATGAGTCCCAAATATTGGACGAAACAGCCGTCCAGTTTTTTCTGCATTCTGTTGAGGTTTCTCCTAGACTCGATGAATTAATTATGATATATATATATATATATATATTAAGCATTTCACCCCAAGCAAGGCGGGAAGCCACTAAGACGCAAGGGGTTACAGAAAATTTAAAGCAAGTTCAGATAGGAGTGATAGAAGAAAGGATGAGAGTAGTGGATAAATCAAGGCAACTGGAGATGTCGATTAAAATTACACTTGAATAGCTGGAGATTATAGCTCGTGGGGAAGCAGGAATAGGGAAAGGAGTTCCACAGGCGAGAGGTGCGAGACGTGAAGCTATTGGAGTAGAAGAGACGGCTATATTTAGGAGTTTCGACAGTGAAGGGGTGAGAGCGGGATGTCAGCCTCGTATGGCGCTTGAACTCATGACGTCTGGGAACCAGCGAATGCAGCTCCTCGAATCAATTTCCATGAAAGTATATATATATATATATATATATATATATATATATATATATATATATATATATCAACTCTCCCGTCGATTCAGATCAGTTCCTAAGAACCGACAGCTCGACACCAGCATATGAGATTTGATTAGAGTGGTGAATGTTTTGTGCAGAACCATCCACACTTTTTGAAGGGCCGAATTACCAAGACCTGGTGCACGGCGTACCACAAGGTCCACGAATGACCCTCCGCGGGTTTTAATTCAGAGTTGTCCTTCTCCTGGTTTATGGAACTAGTCTCTCTCTCTCTCTCTTTGTTTTTCTCTTTCTCTCTCTCTCTCTCTCTCTCTCTCTATATATATATATATATATATATATATATATATATATATATATATACTGAGAGAAATGGGAGAGAGAGTGAGTGAGTGAAAGAGAGCGGGAAAGAGAGCTGTAGAGAGAGAGAGAGATTGAGAGGGGAGGTAGATAAATGGTCGCTATTCATGCCAGGCAATTATGCATCCGAATGTTAGTTTTCAGAGATTTAACCTATTCTTATTTGAAGGAATTTACAATCTCATTATTAACATTATTTACAGTTTGACTAATGTCCCCATGTTTATTTTCACAATGTTCCCGTCGTACTGCACATCAACCTTTTTGTTTAAGATGTCTGCTGGTACAAGTAGCCTCTTAGTGGATTTCAAACTGAACTCTTTATTTCATCAACTACTATTTTATTGGTTGCCAGGTTTCTACTACGTCCGTACCGGTACTCTCCAATTCTGCATTTCTCCGTCTTTTGTCCCATGGACAATACTGAATCTCCTGCACAATTCCTGTTAAACTTGATTCTCTCTGACGTTCCTCCTGCACCTTAATCCAACTGGTATAGTCATCCCGTCGAGTTTAGCACTCTCATCGCCGTTTCGCTTTCTTTCTCTAATAATGACTCTCATATGCTATTTATATCTATGCTAGGCCGAGTGAAGATGCCGTAATAACCTGTCATATGCTCTCATTGTTTCAGATATCCGCTTCTAGTATTCAAGAATATTTCTTAATTCAGCAGGGGTTGGTGGGTATTTATTTTACGACATACAAGATCACCGTCTCATCTCCAATTACGGCTTTTCGATGTTATTCCAAACTTTTAGAATTCCGTTGACTTAACTTATAGATAAGTTGGTGCAGCTGACTATGTCAATGTTCAGGCCATATATATATATATATATATATATATATATATATATATATATATATATGTCTGTGTGTGTATGTGTGTGAAAAATATAGTTTTAAGGTATACTATATTTATGGATAAAGGTGCTCACTATCAGAGATAGTGTATGTAAATATAAAAGTTGACACTTAGGGCAACAAGAAGCGGCTATATATATATATATATATATATATATATATATATATATATATTGCAGATGTGAACAGGTGTGTTGTAAATGCTTAGAAATATTGGATGTGTTATTCAAAAGAAGACTTAGACTACGTGAAGGCGTTGTTGACTTGTGCCCAATATATATATATATATATATATATATATATATATATATATATATATATATATATTTTTATTACTTGAAATATTATGAAGGAATACGCACACAGACACACATATACACACACACACACACACACATATATATATATATATATATATATAAATTTTAGTACTTGAAATATTATAAAATACAACACACACACACACACATATATATATATATATATATATATATATATATATATATATATATATACATTCATTCAAAGAGATTTTTCGTTCCACACTATGATAAAGCAAGTTTTAAAATAGGGATCATAATATAATGTTTAATGATTAGAATCATTTACAGTAAATATAATCTCGATTAAAATCGGATAAAACAAATAACTTATGCAGACAAAACGAATGACTCTGGTAGTTTCAAATTCTTTGAAAGCATATCTTTGCAAGAATATTTTCCAATCTGTGCAAATGCATCTGCATTCTTTTTGGTTTTCTCTCCAACACTATTTATCCCTGACTATCCCACATTTTGACAACAGAAAATTTACTTCGAATCTATTTCAAAAATTGTATTTCAAAAATTGTATTTCAAAAATTGTATTTCAAAAATTTTTAAATTATCAGTGTTTTTATTTTATTTATTTATTTTCTTTTAACTGAATACATGTCTTTTAGAGATGTTTAGCGTAACGGAATTGCTTAATTTTCTATACACTGACAAAACATTGTGGCCGTATTAATAGTTGATGTTACCGAGTGTTGGATTTTACTTTTTTGCACACTTTATTCCAGAAAAAGAAAACACATATACAACCAGATAAAAATTTAAATAAATGCTTAATCGCAGTACCTTGTGAGTCTTTAATGAAACATTATATATATATATATATATATATATATATATATATATATATATATATATGTGTGTATATATATATATATTTATATTTAGATAGATAGATAGTGTGTGCGGAGAAACGTCCGTTTGCCTCTAGCTAGGATCGAAACACGGCTGAATTGGCGTCAGTCGATTAATCTACCTTAAACCGTTGTCGCAAGGCAGGGATGGCGGTGAATTTGAGCGTATTTATTTTTTGGGATAAACACGCTAGTGACTGAGAGAACTCGATTCGTTTTATCAAAGAATATTGTATTAGTAGCAGTAGTAGTCACTGTTTACAAACTCACGCTTTCTCCTAGCGAAATTTATATATATACATATATATTTATTATATATATATATATATATATATATATATATATATATATATATATATATATATATATATATGATAGATAGATAGATAGATAGATAGATAGATGAATATTTACATTTTTCGGACACGAAGTCACCGTTGTCATTGTAATAAATCTGCTACTACGAATTAACCCATTACCTGCCATGAGCCTCATTTGTGGATCTGTAAAAATTAAACTCACTACATGTTATTCCTTGTATTAACATTGAATTGCTTACATACATTGCATTTGCAAAGGTATATTTTACAACATTTAGCCTTTAAAATTTTTATTATTAGCTGTAAGAAGACATCACCCCTTGCATCTTGGCCACCTAACTCCCCAGACTTCAACTCACGTGATTATCATGTGTAGGCACAGTTGAGCGAGAGAACAACAAAAATCTTTGGAACACCAAAGATGAACTGAAGGCAAGGATTATGGCAGCATTCACCAACTTAATATTTCAAAATATTTTTATGTAATTTTGATAAATATATCTGTTAAAATGAGGTATCTGTATTATTTTCATGTTTGCGCAATTTAGGCGACAATTTATCCATCACGCCCTGTATATGCTTCCACAGACTCGCTATAGCAAAGATTTAAAATTAATTTTTACAAATGAAATATTCTTGTTGAAGTTTTTATTTATTTTTATGTCAAGCTAATAGATTAAATTTAATATTTCCAAGAAGCAAAAACTTTGATGTAACAAATGAAATAATATTTTTATCAAGATTTTCTACAAAAAAATATTATTCATTTGTTAATAAGTCCCGAAGGTTTCATAAAAATCCGACACTGATTTGATGCTTGCAAGAATTTCCAACTCAACGCTTTTCATCGCAAAAAACAAAAATTACCCTGAGATTGGCTGCGGTAATTTACAGTCTGATGGCCGAAAAATTTTGACCAAAACTTCGAATCTTCTTATGATTAAAAATATAATTAAATAATCAGAAAATACTTCATCTTAATAATAACATAACGATTTTGAATATAAAACATTTCTATCAATTTTTATCATCTATTTTTTTAGAGAATTACTGGATGTACATACGTAGGTATGTACATCCACTAATTCTCTAAAAAATGGCATACAATGATGAAAAATTTATAAAAATCGTTATGTTATTATATATATAATAAATATATACATAAACACACACACACACTTATTTATTTAATCCGATATTTGTATTTGGTCAAGCTTTATTTCATTGGATAGCACTATTTGAAATAAAAGCCCTGCTTTTTAACATTTTTTAAACATTTCGTATTTGGTCTATCGGTCTGCGAAAACGAGAAAACTTAATAAAGAGTATGTGGTGTACAGTGCACGAAAAACATGGCGTCTATTTGAAATAAGTACCCATTAAAATAACGATTGAAGTAATATATATATATATATATATATATATATATATATATATATATATATATATATATATATATATATATATATATAGTGAACGAGATATATTGAAGTGAAGATTAATGAGTTCCAAATAAACACAAAGTGGTTGATAAATTTAAATATGGAGAAATTAATTGAGAGAATTTGTTAGAAAATTCATTTAGTACTTTGCGGTGGTAATCCTAAAAAGCCAAAGAGCGAATTTCATAAACTGAATGAAATTCAGTAGCAGGGTCGGGTATCGATACAATCAGAGGAGTGTGTATTATCAAATGATGGTGCATCACTATTCGTTGTTGTAAGCAGACAACAGGATAGAAAAAAGAAATGTTATACGAAAATTGGGAAACGCTAAAAAGTCAGGAAAGGAAAAGATTGACTATGCGCTACGAGGAATAACTAAAAGACAATTTTGGAAATTCTGGAAATTCTATGAATCATTGAAATTGGATCAGTGGGAGTGGAGGAGTTGCTTGGACACACACACGCACAACATTGTACTTTATATGTAAGATAATAAAAATAAACTCAATATCAACGAAAACATTTTGGTCTTTTACCAAACTTACTCGTAATTCAGATATTCTTAATGACCTGTCAGACTAAGGACGTATTGAACCACTTTCATATATAATACTAACTAATGTTCGTAGAATTCAATGTTCTTTTGTTATAGAAATAAATATATTTAAATTCACAGACACGCACAAATACAAAAATCTTTATAATTCGTTGTTTGTTGATCTTTGTGTCAGTTTGACTGATACTCTCTCTCTTTTTCTCTCACTCTCACTCGCTCGTTCTTGTTCAATAAGTGAGTAACGCAATGCACAGAAAGCATCTTGATCCTGCATCGAGTAAAATGGTTTGGTCGTATAAAACGAATGCTTATTGCAAACTTTTGAAAATTCTATGGTGGAATTCGCGTAACGTTAGAAGAGTCTTTCCGGGATAAAAAAAAATACGGGCTAAAAAAAAAAAAAAAAGACTTCATTCCAAAACCGGGAAAATAGGTGAAATAGAATGCTGGAGAAATTAGCCTGTGAAATCGACAATAGAATTTTCGAGTGAACTGTCAAATTAATGGGAGAACTGTCAAATTAATGGGAGAATTGTCAAATTAATGGGTGAAGGCAAATCCAATTAATTTGTAAAAAGTGTAGATTAACATGCATGTGCCATGCGGGATTAGTGACGAATAGTAGGCACACCATAAAATAGTATAGAGTTTTAAATTAAAAAAAAAACACTATGACATAATATACAGTGACATAATAAAAGTTTTTAGCGAAGAGAAATGAACTACATTTGCTAGTTTCAGTTCTTGTATTCGATTTTTCATGGATTTGATCAAGTTTTCAACAATCGTCTGATCCATATTTTGCCATTCCTTTAACAATGTTCCATTAAGCGTTGACACTGGCGCGGAGTTTTTGGTCAAGGTGTTCTCAAACGTGCTCTATTGAATTCAGCAAGTTCTTTTAGGCTACCCATGGCAATGACTTGATTCCTTGCGATTCCTTCAAGGCCTTTGCTATTTGTTCATATGATATGGCGCTCCATCTTCTTGATAAAGGTAGAATTATCCCTTCCATTCACAAACTGGTAAAACGTATGTTCATACATAGATACATATATATATATATATATATATATATGTGTGTGTGTGTGTGTGTGTGTGTGTGTGTGTGTGCGCGTGTGTGCGTGTGCGTGTGTGCGCGCGTGTGTATTGGTGGGTGTGATGGTCTCATCAATATCGACGTATGACCCATTTTAAAATCAGATCTGCCAGAAGACCCACGCATATAATTTTATTATACCGTTGAAAGCATGTGGAGAAGTAGCAGGAATTTTCGAAAGAAATAAGAGAAAAATCTTGCCGTGTGTGCCGTGAAAAGTTTTGAAGATTTCTTTTAGACTGCAAGTCAAACAAGGCTAGGGACACCATTCTGGTCTCATAGGTTAACACATAGAGGAGAAGAATTCATAATTTTTCCAAGGGTAATTCCTCGAAAGCGAACGCACCGAACAATATTAATAATCTATGTGTCCATTCAGGAATCTGTCTATCTACGCCTAGAGATAAAATTTATATTATTCCTACTCTCTGTCTCTTTCTCTCTGTCTCTCTCTGTCTATCTGTCTGTCTCTCTCTCTCTCTCTCTATCTATCTATCTATCTATATATATATATATATATATATATATATATATATATATATATATTGCATGCGTTTATTGCAAAAACTATTCTAATTGCCAAGCGTGAAATGTTAAATGTACAAGGTTTTGTCAGTGAAACTGTTTTCATTTTGCCACAGCGTGAGATGGATTGGCGCTAATCGAATTAGCATTTACCAAAATGTGAGCTTCATTTACTTTTCTTATCGAAGAATTTCTAACATTCCTTTCGGCATTTTTTTTTTTTTTTATTTGTCTGTAACGATTAAAGTATAGCCAATCACGTAAACGAAAAACAGTCAGCTAATGATCAAAATAGTTCCCCAACATTGGATGAAATCAGAATAGATCACTTGCTTTTTATGCCTCTGTGCACAGATCACTGTTAGTTAAATCAAGGTGGCATTCAGTTTTCTCTTGAAAATTATCTATCTATCTATCTATCTATCTATCTATCTATCTATCTATCTATCTATCTATGCGTATATCAGTTTGTATGCAGATGTGAGAATGCGTATACATATCTATATAGACAAATACATATTTCGTCCAGATTTGTCTCGAACTTAATACAGGTTGCGATGAATAAATTATCGTCTAAATTACGCAAAAATGAAAATAACACTGTCATCTCCTCTTAGCAGATATATTTACCAAAATTACACACGAGTATCTTGAAATAGTAAAGAGTAAACGTATAGAATAAAATCGCTATTCGCTTCAAGCACGGTCTCCGAAAGGCTTCGGAATCTCCTGCATCACTTCTGCACGGTCTTCTTGTTTAGTTGGGGAATGCTGCTATAATCCTTGCCATTAGTTCATCTTTGGTGTTACAAGAAGTTTTGTTGATCTCTCGCTCAGCTTCGCCCACGTATAATAATCAAGGGGGTGTAGTCTGGGGAGTTAGATGGACAAATGTAAGGGGTAATGTGGTCGCAGAAATTGTCTGACAGTCATGACTGGATTCTCCTGAGTGTGTGGCAGGGTGCAGAGTCCCGTTGTCAGAAATAGGTACTTCCCGCATCCATCCTCTTAGCACAGGGACGCACGACCTCCTCAAGACATTGATGTAGGCCTCCGTGTTGAGTCTGAGACCTTTACCAATAAATTCGCGAGTTCTTTTCTTATCAGAACGATAAGAGTTAATTTTCCGAGCTGCCTTACCTTCGTAATCACTATTAGACTCATCCAACTCTTTCCGAATGCTCTGCACTATCCTCAGATTGACATCCAAACATCCTCAAATATTCGTATTTGAGGTTCCGGCGTGAATTCTAAGCATTACAGCATGCCGTTTCCTGCTTTCTGGCAGAGTGAACTGCTTCATGGGTTTCTTTTTCTCTCATACGGTGCACAACCGACACTACTATACGGTGAAGTTGACAAAATCAAAAACAGACAACGCGCATGCGCAAAATTAAAAATATAATATGGCAAAAATTTACCCGTCACACCCTATGTATCGTGGATTTGTCTTTGAATATCACTTGCTCGTATGCTTAGGTAGGTACAAAGAATTAGTTTATAAAAAAAGGACATATACGTGGGAGCGCAATGCTTATCGAACTTATTACCTCGTATTAATCATCCTGTAGAATTATACTGTTATGTTTTCCGATGAAAAGATATCTTCTGTTTTTCTCCGTGTGTCCGTCCGTTTGCATCGCTGTCCGTCTGCTTGGCTTACGAAGTACGATCAAATGAGATTGCGTTCTCCAAGAAACACTCCGGTACAACTGAAGAAACATAGGTATGCCCGGTTAAAATTTGTTCTTGAGTATAAGATAATCCTGAATCATTTTGGGAAAGAATTTTATGGACAGATGAAGCAAAAAATCCACTGTGCTTAATTCAAATACTCACATTTCGAGTAAAGACGGCAGAGCCTTTGCACACAATCCCAAAGGCGAATTTTGGTGAAGGCAATATCATGATTTGAGGATTTTTATTTCTGCTAATGGTAAAGGTAATTTAGAGATAATAGATGGTAGAATTAAATAAAAAATATATCAATATGTTTTGGACTCTAATTTCTTTGGGTCAGTAGTAAAGCTTGTTTGGACTCCCAAAAGAATGGGTTTTACAAAAAGATAATAACCCTAAACATACGGCTAAATCTACGAAAAAATGGCTTATTGAAAACATTTTCAGTAAACACGAAGGGCCACCACAATCTCCAGATCTGAATCCAATATAGAATTTGTGGTGTCTATTAAAATTCAAGTTAACAAATGAGCTCAGAACAACAACCTAATAATAATAAGCAAAAATGAATGAATGGAGTAAAATACCAACGGAGTCTTGTAAATCCTTGGTTAAAAGCCACATAAACAGACTGATTGTGGTTGAAATGAGTAAGGATATGCTAAAAATATTAAATAGCTATAATAATGCTGTATGAATATTTTTTTCGCTTACAGTTTTTTTCGTTTCACTATATAACAAATATTTCCGATTTTTTTCATATTGCAGCATTATGCCATGGTATACAAATATTGTATTATTTATAAAATTATTTTATAAAATCTATGTTAAATAAAAAGAAAAACATGGTATATAAATATTTCTTCCTCTCAACTATACGCACCCCCAGCTAACACACACACACAGACACAGACACACACACATATATATATATATATATATATATATATATATATATATGAAAGAATATACTCTTAAGTTGTGCTATATTTATGGGATAAAAATACTCAATATCAGAGGTAGAGCTTGTGTAAATTTATAATGATCATTGAAGTCAACACTTAGAGGCGACAGGCTGTTTCATGCTAGACGCAATCGTCAGGCCTGATATCTAGCATATATATATATATATATATATATATATATATATATATATATATATATATATATATATAGTTGTGTACTTGGACAGCAATCCCTCTTTTATACAAGTTTCATTAAAAACGACTTCTTCTGTGTGTGTCGTTGGTGCACACGCTCTTTTGTGCAAGTACGCTTTTGTATGCGACATTAGTGCACGTACGATTCTGTATCCGGCATTGGTACACATAGGTTCCTTTTTGCTACATTATAGAACGTACGCTTCTGAATGCGATATTCGTCTTTGCTGTACGTTAGTATATACAGAAGCATCTCCCTTTCACTTAGGTTTCCATTCCTGTGTAAAATTACAAATTTCCTCATCTACATGTCTTACAGTGTATACAGCCGTAAGTTAATCATTTGCACAGAATGACAGCATAGACTAATTTTGTTCATAGAATATTTGAACAATTTTGTCATCATTTTTCAAATTTGCTTTATGGCCCATGTTACATAAAATTAAAATTTAATTTCCCTGACTTTTAATACTACCTGCACTATACTGATATATGTTCTTGAAATTTTCCTTTACTTTTACGAGGAATGTCATTTGTATGTAATTAAGCCATTTTTTTTAATCTTGTTTAATGATCATGAACCAGTTGAACAATGTTCATCATCAATGCTCAAATATATTTTATGTAATATGTAGCGGACTTATGTAATATGTAGCTGTATTAAGTTACAGTCAGCGCCGTCTGTCTAACTCTCTGCATTAGCAGAGAGGAACCCGGAGCTTTGCCGAAGGGCAAGGTTTCGTTCGGGGAGGTAGACAGGCCTTGAACCCGTCTAGGCGGGTTCGATGGCTATATTTTTGGCCGAGCCTACGGGTTCGGAAACCCACATTAAACTCGGCCTTGTGCCACATTCAATCCTCGTGGGGGGGATAGCTAAATATTGTAGCGGACTTTTATTTTTAACTCAGGTTCACTCAATACAAGGCTTCAGAGCCACTCATGGTAGAGACACTCCAAATGAAGAGTATGATTTAAATGTAACACTTTGTAAAAGGAGGTGATGATGAGGAGGATAAGATGGCAAGATAGGCATTGACTCTCGTCTTGAATAGGTTAATATTGTAGTGTTCAAGGAAGCATCCACGTAGGAATGTGTTCCACAAAGTAGTAGTTTTCGAAGGGGGAATTTTGTGAGTTGTATTTACGCCTGATAATTGTTTTGGGCGGAACAAGTAGGCGATTCGACTTGTACCATGTCGGGTTCTAACTCTAGTAATAATATAAAGTTTGCAATATAAATAAAAGAAAATATTGTAATTAATTTTATTTCATTTTCACGATATACTTTAATGTTCTCAGATGTTCTTTACGCCTCAACTCCATATACCGTGTGTAACAGCAAAATTGTCCAAATCATGTAACAGGATGGGATAATTGTCCACCCCACAAAATGTTTCATATCTAAAAAAAAAAAAAAAAAATAAAAAAACACTAAATGAATTGAGTTTATTTTTCCAGGTTTTCAGGTGAGACGTTTACCCATCTTGACACCATTTGTCGTAAGAATAAGTGAAAAATCCTTTCACCTGCTATGCAGCTTGAGAAGAGAGCAGGTTAAAATCGTTTTTTGACATCCCTAATATGTCTACTGAACTGTGCAATGGAGAGAGGAAAAAAATAATTCAGTTTTTCAGTAATGATTCATTATTCATAATCTGGATTCCATCTTCAAAATCCATTCAAAAACCATCAGGAGAACAGTGTATAAGTTTAAAAACGATGGAACTGGATCAGGAGGTCACAGCAGCAAGAGTGTTTATCATTTTAGCTTAGAGTTAAATACATCCTTATTGTTCAAAGTCGAATAATGTTATAAAAACTTCGGAGAATTCCAGTAAAATATCTTTAATTACTTCTAAGATACAATGGTTCAAATCTTAATATAACATTTAATCTAACAATTAGACAAGTGTATGCGTTGAAACACGACTGCAATTGACTAGAATTCTTTACATATTGTCTTAATATCCTAATACACACACACACACACACACACACACACACACACACACACACACACACACACTCACATATATATATATATATATATATGAAGAAATGTAGTCTTAAGGTGTGCTATATTTATGGGATAAAGTGCTCAATATCAAAGACAGAGCGTGTGTAAATATAAAAGTGAGAATTGAAGTTAACACTTAGAGGCGACACTCCGTTTCAGGCTAGACTCAATCGTCAGGCCACGAGTGGTGTTATAATCTTCTATAATCAGACAGATACCAAAATCGATTAGCCGCAGGCTTTCCGACAATTCGTCTAATGAATCCATATTTAACAAAGCGAAGAAAGTCTACGAAACTGCCCTAAAATATAGTGGATTCCCAGCAACACTCACATACTCACCATAGAACACAAAAACGGCTAACAGGAAAATAAATATCATATGGTTCAACCCACCGTACAGCAAAAACGTAAAAACAAACGTTGTGACGTTGTGTCGTTGCGCCAAATGTGACGTCACCCCGTCTGTCTCCGCGCCGTCGTCGTCCTATCCTGCCCTGTGACGACCAATGTGACTTGGTATTGGTCGCGGCACCAAATGTGACGTTCTAACCTTTTGCTGGTTCGGATGGGAATCTGGTTAGATTCGGTATCAGACTTGTCGTTCCCAGCTCGCCTTCAACGTGTGGTTACCGAAGTAACTGTTTTGATTTCTAGTCTAACCTACCCACGTTCTGATTTGATCTTAGGTAGACGAAATCAATCAGTCGCCGGGCCGTAATGCAAGTCGAGTAATACCGCACAAGTATATGTAAAAGAAAATAAAGTAACAACTCGAAAAGTTCAAATGTGTTAAAAAAGGATAACAATATTTTATATCTGGTTGCTGAATACAGGACTGCTTCTTTCTCCCAAACCGCTAATATGGATTCGTGACACTTTGTGTTTGTTAGGCGAATCTTAACATCTAAGTTGTTTGTTCTTTAAGAAACTGGTTCTTGGTGTATCTTCAGGCGATATTCGTAAAACTTGTTTTGGCGGTGTGAGTGTAAGTCGTTCTTCAAAAATAAATTGTTCTTGGTTAGAAGTTGAGGTCGTGAATGCGTCGATATGTTTCAGTCAGCTTTCTGTGAGGCTGTCTGCGTGCTCTGAGCTCACTGCAACTGCTTGCCTATCTGTATCCAACCCCAACTGCGAACTCAGCTGCGAACTGCGAACTCAACTGCCGTCCACTCGTTGCGACTCTGCTTATATGGACGCCGACCAAAGCCGGGGTGGGCCTGTCGGGGTTTGAGGTTCCTTGATAATTCTCAATTCGCATTAAGAGATTTTCATTGTTCTCGGTCAGAAAGAATTATTAATTTCCATTTTTGGAAGTCTTTCGTCCTCCTAAATTCTTCCTTTCTCATACCCTCAGAGGCTGTCAACGGGTTTCCCCTCTCTCTCACAGTGGCATCTCATACCGATCCCTTCAGGGGGCGTCAATAGAATTCCTGTCCTTCTTCACATGATTACCTTCGCCTACCGCTCACACCACCATTCAGCGGCGTGGGTGTGGCCGGACCAGCCTTGGTTTAAAAAATCTTGCTCAAAGAAAAAACAATATCTTCCTTTTTCTTTTTCTTTTCTTTCTTTTTCTTCTTCTCGACAACAAATCCTTAGACTCTTATCTTAACCGAATCACCTGGAGTTCGTCACTCAGATTTTCGCCAGCATCAAGTGGGTGGTCATTTGGCGACTTGCGCTACAGCCAATTATTCATTTCGATAAAATAATTTTCTTATCATAGCCAGCTCCGACAGAAAACAGATGCCTTTTCCAAACGACACAACACTAATGGGTCAGTCTTTCTTTCTTTGTAACTCTGCGGTTGGTCCAACAGACATTTTTGTTTTTCGCGACCCAATTAATTTATATCTCTTAGAATTCTGCCCTGACCGACCTGAAATTTTCACCATTGCCATACTCGGTGCGCCGTCATAAATCAAACGCGAGAGATCCGCGACCTTATTTTATTCGTTAATGAAAATAAAATCTTTACCACTTTTCCTCGTTTATAAAAAAAATAGCATCGTCTTTTCGTGATAGATTCTTATCACCCAATTTAATTCTCACCTTTTTTTTTACGCAACCCTAAATAGTGTCACACATAGGAAAAATATTCCTCAAGCTGTAACACAAACATTTCCGGAAATCTATGACCCTACACAAAATATTCAACAAAACAACATTAAAAATCAGCTACAGTTGAACCGAGAACATAGCACAAATAATAAAAACAGCACAACAGGAAAATTATCAACAAACCACAGGAACAAATTAAATGCACGTATAACTGCAGTAGAAAGAACGAATGTCCCTTAAACGGTAATCGTTTACAAAACAACGTAAGATACCAAGGCACGATAAAATCATCAGATAATGAAGAAAAATATACATAGGATAACTGAAGGACTTGGAAACAAAGAAATTATGCACAAAAATATATTTCACAAATTGTAAATATGCGAACAGTACAATGCTTTCTAAGTATATCTGGAAAATTAAAACAAAACGCACATCCCACCGAAAACATCTTGGAAAATAAGGTAAAGATCATCAGTCTATAACAACCAATCAAAAACTTGCTTACTTTGCTTGGAGAAAAAAAATAGCTATCATTAACGTCCCAGACCAAAATAAATTGTTAAATAAAAGATCCGAGCTCATTTCAAAATGCAGACATGAAAACAAATTTTTACTACGCTACTTAAAAATCTCAAACTGAAAAAAATAAAATAAAATAAAAAAATAAAAGTAAGAATAAAATATATAAATAAACAAAACGACAATAGAACGAGTAAAATAAATTAACCCAAACAAATTACCCGTTAGAATAGACGAAAGAGAATAAAAGTAAAAACAAAATTAATGAACCCAAATAAATAAAGTAAATAATAAAGAAATTAACAAGCCATTATGACCAAAATGTTAGCTAGACAATAAAATTCAAACCAAAAATCAGACGTTATATAACGATAAAAAAATTCTACGTTACTTGAAAATCGAAAACCTAAAATAGTGAATAAAAATATACAGTATAATAAATAAATAATAAAAAACAAGTAAAATACATTAATCTAAATCCATCGAAATACATAAATGAACAAACAAACCGATCCCGATAAATTAACCGTTAGAATAAATAGATTTAATTATCTTCCTAAACCAAAACAAAAGTATTAAATAAGCGATATAAACAAATTTTACTACGTTAATAAAAACGCCGATTTAAATAAAAATAAAAGAATACATATATAAGATAAGAAATAAAAATAAAAAGGAATAATGACAAGCAAAATAATTTAACACAAATAAATAAATAAAAAAAATAAACGATTCCGGTAAAATAACCGCCCAAATAGACTACCCACAATGCACTACTGACCGTATATATAAATAACTGAGAAAAATAACGGCACTCGTGGGATGACGATTGCGTCTAGCATGAAACAGACGGATTGTCGCCTCTAAATGTCGACTTCAATGTTAACTTTGATATATATATATACGCGCGCGCGTGTGTGTGTGTGTGTGAGCGTCTGTGTTTATGTGCGTGTGTGCATGGAAATATAGGTTGAAGGTGTGTTATATTTATAGGATAAAGAGCTCAATATCAGAGATAGAGCTTATGTAAATATGAATATAGATGTGAACATTGAAGTCAATACTCAGAGGGGAAAGGGCTGTTTCATGCTAGACGTATATATATATATATATATATATATATATATATATATATATATATATATATATATATATGAGTAAATGAGAATATGGAAAAATAATGCGTTTCGTTACTACAGGAATTCATCGACTAAATGTGTTATGTTTTATGGCTACACATGCGCATGAAAGCGAACGAAGAGGATACTGGGGAATTTAGAATTTTTTTACAACTTTTTTTTTTATCTAAATAATAACTCTAAATAAATTTGGCTATATATATATATATATATATATATATATATATATATATATATATATATATATATATAAAATTCTAAAATCCCCAGCACGCCATAACAAATTTAGTCCGATGAAGTCCAGAAGGACGAAAGGCATCACAAGTAAACTTTTTCCACTTTCTATTGTTCTTGCTATATAAAATGTACATCGCTATCCGATACATACATACATGAATACACACACACACACACACACACACACACACACACACACACATATATATATATATATATATATATATATATATATATATATATATATATATATATATACAAAATGAAGGGAAAGAACAGACTACTTTTTATAAAAAAAATGCGCTCGATCCAATGTAGAGCCGAACATATTTTAATAATATTTGTATTACAAAATATTTTTACATCGCTGCATAAAAAATTCATGTTTCGAACTTAAAGTTTTCCTTTCATCAGAATAAGTTAACAAACATCGCCTTATGAAAGGAATAATTGTAAATTCCGAAACATGGAAATTTTTATGCAGTGAACTATTTTTCTAATAAAAATATTATATATATATATATATATATATATATATATATATATATATATATATATATATATATAAAGAAAAGAATAGTAAGATATATAATCCGGTGTTCTTATAGATATTTTTATTTTTACAAAATAGTGCTCAATGTAAATTTACAGAGCATTAATATTATAAATTAATTGATTTAAAATATGGTTTTTTCGCTACACAGTTCTAACCATGTTTCAAAAATGGAAGCTAAAAAAGCCCGAATTTTATTTTGTAATTAAATTAAAGACATTAGTTCCATTTCATCCTCAAGCGAATATATATATATATATATATATATATATATATATATATATATATATATATATATATATATATATACAGAGAGAGAGAGAGAGAGAATGAGAGAATACGCATTTAATAATGAAATCACTGTTTAATCAGAATAAAATGGCGTAATATATTTATTAAATTAACTAATTAACTGCATGTTTAACTATAATGATTGTTTCCTGGGAACGTGTTTCGTAGCGTATCCTCCTTTTGTTTTCCAAATGAATATTAAGATTTTCTTCTTCATATTGTTTATTGTGTGCTCTCTCTTGACCACGAATCATTTTTATTGCCTTTTCTACATCTTTTCTACCCCTCAAGAACTTTCAGTCATTTTTCTGTTTCTTTCTTTCTGTTTTCTTTCTAAAGAACTTCACCTTCTTTATGCTGCTGAACATTATCCCATGCTCGCGCGAAAACCTTCAACCACACACACACACACACACACACACACACACACACACACACACACACACAGATAAACATACACTCCCATAAACACACACTTTCCACTGATTTTTTTAAATATCTTCTCTTTCTACACTTCTCTATCTCTCGATTTCTTTCTTTCTTTCTGTTTTATTGCCGTCACGTTACGATATTATATCTTTTACAATGAACTTCCGCCATTTTGGGCCTTCTCTTATTTTCATGAAAATCTTGGTCACGACTGCACGCTTTTCTTACATCCTGTTTTGTCTGCCTCGGCCGTCTGCGTATTCAATCGCCGTCCGCCATCGTGCAATCTACACTTTTTAACGACATTCAAACGATTGTCTTTCGGTAAAAAAAATATCATTTTAAGACATAAGGGTACTATCTATCTATCTATCTATCTATCTATCTATCTATCTCCTTGTACTTTACTATCTACCTATCTCTGTTCTCTGCATATATATATATATATATATATATATATATATATATATATATATATGCATACACATACTTCCATGGATTTACATCCAACTTGTTTCGGGGAGGGCTAAAAAGTGTCTATCCGTTTCATTTTCTACAATTTAAGCAAATGACCTAACAGAATTTATCAGGAGAAGATATATCCTTCCAGGTCGAGTTTTAAATATTAGTGCCCTTACATTCAATCTTCTCTCTGAAAATGTTAATGAGGCATGGTGGAAAATTTTAAATTATATATGGAACCTGAGGTCTTCCGATTCAAAGCCGATCGCCATCGTGCCGACTACATTTTTAAATATATTCAAACGATTGTCTTTCAATAAAATAAAATCCTTCTAAGATCATTCTACATATATATATATATATATATATATATATATATATATATATATATATATATATATAATTTTTATTTAACAAAATTTATAACATAAATATATTATAAAATCACTACAAAAATAGCCATTTTGTTTCAACACTCTCAGTGTCTTATCAAGTGATGATGTTGAATGTAAAATAAATGAGAGTGTTGAAACAAAATGGCTATTTTTGTAGTGATTTTATAACATATTTATGTTATAAATTTTGTTAAATAAAGAATTATATCTGCTCTACTTTGTATTGAGCACTCTTTTTTAAGAATAGTATTTATTGGTTATTGGAATCCATTCCGTATATACCAATCATATACTTGGGTATATATATATATATATATATATATATATATATATATATATATATATATATATATATATATACAAAGACACCGGGTGTAACAGCAAAATTATCAACAGATCACAGAAATATCTTTTGAGGTATTCACCCAGAAAGGGAACATGACAAATCGTTTTGTGTCAGTTGCACTGTCTTCTAAACTGTGCAATGGTGAGAGGAAAAAGGTAATCAAGGCTTTCAGTAATGGTACGAATATTTATACTCTGGTTTCTATCTTCAACGTCCATTCAAGAACCATCAAATGAACGGTGAATAAGTTTAAAAAAAAGGAAGGAACATTAGAGTCGATAACTGGATCAGTAGGTCAGAACAGGAAGACGCATCATCATTTCAACTTAGAGCTGAAGAGATCAATTAGAAAAGATCCAACTCATTGATAAAATATTTGGCATGTGAGAGTTTCATGACACTCTAAAGAGTAGTGAAAAAGTATTTGAAACCTTGTTATTCCAGGACAGAAATTTACAAATTTAGAGAGTGCGAATATCATTATGAATATCTTGGAAAATGTTCTAGTGGAATGATATATATATATATATATATATATATATATATATATATATATATATATATATGTATTTTAAATTTATTTCAATCCTTCATGAGCTTACGATCTCTACCTATGATTAATTCATGGAGGGTAATTATATATTCTTATTGCTCAAAGAAGAGTTCAGTAGAATTCTATTAAGATATCATTAATCATTTTTAATCATTTCTAAGGTATTCAGTTCAGAACTTAATCTTACAATTGAATAATGGCATGGACAATTTTACTGTTACATTCAAATACATGTAACTCCTTGTTTCGTGGGTGAGGGTGATGAAAATTATCGATGCAACTCACTTTCCACAATCTAAGCAAATGGCCAAAACAGCATAATTTTTTTAGGTAAGAGATATGTACTTCTGGTTGTGTTGTAAATTGTCGAGGCCCAAACGTTTTCTCTGAAAATGGTTAATTAGGCATGGTGGAAAAAACTCTATTTCAAATTCTATTTAAATACTTAGACTTTCGTAATGAACCGACGTTCGCCATCGTGCAATCTAGACATTTTAAAGACATTCAGATTATTGTCTTTTGGTAAGAAATCATTGTTAGTCATCAGAGTACTATCTATCTATCTATCTATCTATCTATCTATCTATTTTCGTATTTATCTCTTCTCATGATCTATATATCTATCTGTCTCAACATTCTATCTCTTTGTCTGTCTATCTGTCTATCTATCTATCTATCTATCTATCTATCTATCTATCTATCTCTTATTTCGTCACTATTGAATGTAGATTCAGTCATTTTCAGGCATGGAATTTATTTTGTTTTTGGTAAAAAGTCAGATAGCATCCAAGAGGAAAAATATAATGCGAATCAAAATATATATATTTTTAAATGTGTTATTGATAACGCATACAAACTAAGTACAGTCGAAAATACTTGCGTATTTAATTTACCACAATTATACAAAAATATCTTGAAATACTAAAGAGTAAATTTATTCAATAAAATCACCATTGACTCCAACACGGCCTCCAGACGACGTCAGAATATCCTGCAATTCTTCTGTCCGGTCTACTTGTTATGATGCTATAATCCTTGCCTTCAGTTCATTTTTGGTTTTACAAAGAGTTTTTTGGTCTCTCGGTCAACTGCGCCTCACACATATACGTTGCAGTCTGAGGAGTAAGGTCGCCTGATATAAGGAGTGACGTGGTCAGCGAAATTGTCTGACAGCCATAGCTGAGTTATCCTCCATGTACGGCATGGTGCAGAATTCTGTGCCCAGACATAAAGTCTTCTATCAGCAACTCTCTTGACCCAGGCAACACTAACTCCTCAAGGCATTTTATGTAGTTCTCTCCGTGTTGAATCTAGAGCCCTGTGAGAAGATGAATGGAGGCATCACTCCATATATACCTTAGTAATCACCATTAGACTCATCCAACTCTTTGTCGAATCATCTGCACTGTCCTCACATTGAAAACCAAACACTCTGAAATGTTTGTATCGTAGATTTCGGCGCCAATGTCAAGCAGTTCAGCATGCCGATTCCAAATGTCTGGTGGAGTGAATTGCGTCAAGTTCATGGTGGTCTTTTTTCTCACAGACGGTGCCCAACAGACTATACTATATTGTGCAGTCGACAAAATAAGGAACAAACAGCGCGCATGCGCGAAATTAATAGAATAAAATGGCGTTAATTTACCTATCGTACCCTGTATATGATGATTCATTCAACCATCAATTTTGAAGCATCCGACAACGTCATTCAGTTTTTATGTTTGCATCATATGTGATTCTTCATTCTTGCTAGTTACCTGCATATAAGTCCACATCTTGTGCAACACCCAGGATTGCGGGTCATAACCACAGGAATATTTGTTGATACTTTTTGCCGTTGTATTTCGTCTCTTAGCCGGTTAGGACGACTGATTTCGAAATTTCTGATATATATATATATATATATATATATATATATAGGTTTCATTAAATAATATAGACAAGTGTTGTCTATTTATTTTATGTAAATTATTTTCATAACGTCTAATAAGTTTAATAACATTATCATTGAACGAAGAAAGAAATTCACAATATTGATCCATATTTGTTAATACAATCTAAGCTTTCGGCTTACATAAGCCATTATCAAAGATGTCAATTACTGTACAATATATTAAGCAATATACGGACAAGACAGTGATGACAGTCTGGGAATGTTTACATAGATGATCTCTAAGCAACGATAAAAACGTGCATATAAGACTCTAGAAGCGAAAAACGCACTGCATCTTATGACGTCACACATGACCACGCGAGAGTGAATTGGAGAAGTATGAAGTATGGGAAGCTGTTGGTACAAACCACTGTCTTGTCCGTATATTGCATAATATGTTGTCATTGACATCTTTGATAATGGCCGAAAGCTTAAATTGTGTTAAAAAAATATGGATCAATATTGTGAATTTCTTTCTTCGTTTAATGATAATGTTATTAAACTTATTCGACGTTATGAAAAGAATTTACATAAAATAAATAGACAACACTTGTCTATATTATTTAATGAAACGTATATGAATGAAAAGATGCTGCCTAAATACACACTTTAAATTACATGATCCAGCAGCCCACAATATATATATGTATATATATATATATATATATATATATATATATATATATATATATATATATGTGTGTGTGTGTGTGTGTGTGTGTGTGTGTGTGCTGGGCCTAATTTATCATTTATCGATGTATTAGCAAATACAACAGAGAACAAAGATTTCATGAAATTTTTATGTAGTTCCTCTTATTTTTTTTAAGAAGGGAACGAACGTTAAATCACTTTGAGTTTGTCATCTCTTCTTTTGACAAGAGATGGGCTTTGATTTTATTCTTGCAATTCTGCCAGTGGAAACGATCGAGTGTAAACATAAACTCTTAGAGAGCACCTATGCATTTCATCTTAGAATAAACGTCCATTTTATATCAATATTCTACAGACGAACAAAGGATTTGACGATAGTTGCTTTTCAGATATACCCGATATTTCTAATACTGGTTGTCCCCGCACAGAATTTGTGTCACTTTCTTTTCAGCAATGTTCGATTACCTCTATTTTCTGCCAAAGAACTTCACCTAGCGATCGTTAGATGTCGCTGACAAAAAGAGTTTGCAAGAAAATGATGCAAACACCATTTTCTCTCTTTTCTCTTTTTTTTTTCGCAACTGAATGCTTTAAAAAATAATTACTTTAGTGGATACTCGTATTTGAGTAGACGCTCCGTTTATTTATTTAACAGTATATTTATTTATTTTCGTCTACCGGCCTAAATGTTCGAGAAGTCTTATTAAAAAATATGCTGTCTCCGGCAGGATTCGAAACTGTATTCCACTAAGGAAAAACACCACGAGTCTGACGTGCTTTTACGTCTCGGCTACCGAATGTGTCTATGGTCAAACAACGTCGGTTCCACAGAGCAGCGGTTTGTGGGAAGAAGCTGCTCGAGTAGAACCTCCATATTACCAATGGAATACAAAAGGAATGATAGTGGTTCACTACAATGTGCGTGGCATGTTGGTACTCATCCTGGGTGGGGCAAGAACTTGGAGAACTAAGGAATGTAGTTCTTCTGAACACTTTCAGTGGAAATAGCGATAAAGCAGCGAAAGGTTTGCAATGTTTCGTCTGTGACAAAGGGGTCATAGCGTGACAAGTAACTTGTCACCGACAAAGACATGTGGACGCTTTTGAACCCTGACGTAAGTGGAAAGTAATAACTGGGAAGCTCATCCCTATATATGGCTGCAGTACTCCATTTTCGGGATGATGTGGTTCCTGTGAAGATAGAGGATAGCATGAAGAGTCAGAAAACTGGAACGATACAGGAAGCTGACCATTAAAATATGAGAACGATTCAAAATATTATGTTGCTACATTTGCTTCGATAAAGCTGAACAATCATTGCATTAAATAACATTACGAATTGTTTTTTACACCATTCATAATCGGATTATTCTCCTCATCTACGGTGTTGTTATTACAACGTTACGGCCGTTGTGCTCTCCGGCGTTCATCAAGTGTATATTGATCTGGGTAATTGTGAGTTCAATCCTTAGGCTGGGCAGTATATACTTGAACGTATTGGAAACAGACGAAAAATAACAGAACAATACTAAAAAGAAAAAAGAACGAGACAAGATATCCCTAGTCATGGGCAATGGAATGAAAACTCTCTACCTCCGTAGATTAAATAAAATATTTAGTTCAGAATTCTGAGGAGGCTACCCAAATCAATATACACCTGATGAAGGACGGAAGGAACAACGGCTGAAACGTTGCGATAACAACAACAAAGATGAAGACAATAGTCCGGATATAAATAATATACACAATAACATTTCATCCCTACAATTCAAATAGAAACCCTTGCATCCATCTACAAATTATCTTGAAAAAATCACGATTCACTAATAGAGAAAGAAAAACTACAGTAATTTGATAAAACACAGTCTCTTTTCTTATTTGAAATATAAAATGTTGAAAATCCAACTGGTTCATAATATTGGCTTTGATAAAACTTTCTCTATTCTTGGTTGACAAATAAAATGTTGAAAATTCAAAGATTTCCTCCTAATATTAGTATTTACAACAATGACTCTTTCGTTGGTTTGAAACTGGGGTATTGGAATTTCAGTTGATTCTTCTTACTAGCTTTGGCAACAAGCCTACCTCAGTTTGACATCTACTTGAATGATTGTCAACATTCAACGGTTTAGTCTTGTCAACAACGGTTTAGTCTTGTCAACAACGTCTAAATCTTTGGCTTAAATCTGAGATGTTGAAAATTCAGTAGATTCTTTTATTAATTTTGATTCTTCCATTCGTTTGCGACTAAAATTTTAAAGATTCAACAATTTCATCTGAAATATTGAAAACTCGACGACTTCATATTATCGTGGTATCAACATCGTTCATTTCCTGGTTTTAAATCCGAGCCCTTAAAAAAACTCAATGTTTTCCTTATACAGTGTAACCCGGATATAAGAGAGTTGTCGCGACCGGAGAAGAAGTCTCTTATATCCGGGTTTCTCTTATATCCGGGTTTGGTCTATTTTATATACATTAACACAGGGTCTAATTTGGGACCAGAGAAATCTCTCTTATATTCGGTTTTCTCTTATATCCGGGTCTTTTATATCCGGGTTACACTGTATTAGTGTTACCAACAACAGCAGTTTTGTTGATTTGAAACTGAAACCGTCAAAATTCAACAACTTCCTCAAAATTATCATTGAAGATTTCATCTTATTTCTTCGTTTGAAATTGAGATATCTTGTTGAAAATTCGACAGCTTCATCATATTAGCTTTGACAACCAGAGTTGTTGCTCTTTCAACTACGCTCATTGACCTCTACCAACCTATCACTCTTTTTATATTTCTCTTGATTCATCCCCCTCTTGGTTTTTTTGATACGAACCAACATTTACATCTTGGGCTATTCATTTAAAAGACAAACAAACTGTTCTTCGTCTCGTGTTGCTTTTATTTTTTTTCTTTTCAAGCGAGTGCAGAAATGAGAAAAAAAGAAGAGCTAAAAGAACAGGGGAGGTAATTCTTCTTTCGTTCTTTCTTTTTAATTTTGCCTCTCCTAATCTTATGTTTTCATTATTTTTAAACACACACACATATACAGATACACACACACACATATATACATACATACATATATATATATATATATATATATATATATATATACATAAATCATTTTTTTCTTTTCACCCCTTAACTTCAATGCTATGCTTTATTCCTGACCCTGGACAACGTTCGTACGTATTTTGATTACTCTTCTTCTTTTTCTTCTCTTTTTAGCTTTCGTTTTCTTTCTTCAGGACGTCTTGCCTCTGCCATTTCGTCCTAACCTTTTAAAGTGAAGACACCAATTCAGATTTTCCTTGAATACCTTAATTTACTTGAATGGCAAATAACATGGCGGACCAACCCAGTACTTGAACTACGGCGAAAACGAAATAATAATAAAATAAAATAACGTAAAAAAAAGAGAAGATTTATACATTTCCAAAGAATTAAGGGCTCGAATATGAGTGGATGCATGCGCGTATCTGCTCATAAAATATTTTATTTACGTGTTTTTTTTTGTTTTTTGTTTTGGTGTGTGTTTGTTTTTATGGGTATATAGTGTGTATACAACGTGAAGCTTTCCGTGTGTCTGTGTAAAAGTACTTTAATAAACATTAAAAAAGATCCCTAACTTTTTTTTTTACTGTAATCACTTTTTAGTTTTTTGGCTTAAAGTCTTCATGAGAAATAATACGTACCGTAGGATTATTTGTCAGATAGACGTATATTAATTCTTAACAACTGAAGACTTTTTTGTTATTTTCAGTATGCGACATATAAACTTAATGCCACAACCTGCTTGGACAAGATGTAAGGAAATAAGTGCAACTACTTTTGCTCACAAACGATATTGTAATCTTTTTCATCCACTTATAAGCCATTATCAATGATCCTGATATTAACTTAAAACTATGCAAGGAAGAAGTGGTTCAAATGTTGAAAATAAAGTTCACTCATGTAGAAAAAATGTTTTGTCTGTGAAATTTTAAGTGATCTTCTTTTGCAATAATAGACGTTGTATTATGAACAAAAGGATCGTTTTTCTTGTGAATGATTATTACGTTTGATTTATTTGTACGTAGGCACAGAATGAGAGCCGGGTTCGAATTCCACTCGGGTCCGTTACTTTCACACCCACTTGCATCCGTTTACGCGCAAATACTCTTGGGAAACGCATGAATCGATTTCAACTATAAGGTAAATAGTAGGACTTGTATCTGGAAAAAAATCATTGCTATTCTGAGTAAACATTGTTTAATATAATGTCTTCTCACCGGATTTTTCATTCTATTCGGCGAGGCACTTCTGAGAGAATAAGATAGCCTACCAGGACATAATGGAGACACGGTGGAGTAATGGATAGTGGCTCGGGTTGAGGAATCGTAGAGCCGAGATCGAACTTCAGTCGAATCCTTTACATTTACTTACGAAAGTTAAAGTTATTACTTACTTGGGAAAGGTATGAATCCCCTTCTACCCCCAACTATGGGTAAATAGGTGTACAGATAGGGCTGCTTTGGATGGCAACTGGTCTATCACAGAAAGAAATGACAACCTACTGCTGGAAAAAATCTGCCTCGTCAGTCATGTATCGAAAGAGACATGATCGCCTAAGCGTGTATCACGTATGGCACATAACTGTCTGGCTGACCAGGATTCAGTACTGGCGGCCATAATCTTAACAACATAAACTATTCAGGTAACACAGTGTTGATAGCAGACACGGAAAGAAAACTACAAAAGTGTCGACAAAGGTTAGTGAAGGAAGGCAGGAAGGAAGGTCTAAACATAAACTTCAAGAAGACATAATACATGGTTATTAGCAAAAGGATAATTCCAAAATGAAATTTACAAATCGGAAATGCCAAATAAACTAAGCACAAACATTTAAATATATGGAAAATGAACTAATAGAGGAGGGAAAATTCATGCGATACTGAAATCCGAAGGCGAATTGAGATAGCCAAAGATGCCTTCCAAAACCTAAGCAGAATATTAAAAAAAAACAGAAAAACTTCATTCGAAACAAAGAAAAGAGTACCGAACTGCTACGTAAATATATGTCATATTGTATGGCACTAAATACTGAGCAATTTCCTTAAAGATGAACAGACTTGAAGCAATAGGAATATGGTTCTACAGAAAGATGCTGAGGATATCATGTGAGCAACGATGAAGTTTTACAGAAATGGAAGAATGAAATACCCTTATACTTAACATCAGGAAGAGAGAGTTGTAATTTCTGGGACTCATTTCTGGGAGGGGTTGAAAACTCTGTTACTCAC